GATCAAGGAGTTGATCACGGGATGATGTGTTACGGAACGAGTAAAGAGACTTGCCGGTAACGAGATTGAACAAGGTATCGGGATACCGACGATCGAATCTCGGGCAAGTATCGTACCGATAGACAAAGGGAATTGTATACGGGATCGATTGAGTCCTTGACATCGTGGTTCATCCGATGAGATCATCGTGGAACATGTGGGAGCCAACATGGGTATCCAGATCCCGCTGTTGGTTATTGACCGGAGAACGTCTCGGTCATGTCTACATGTCTCCCGAACCCGTAGGGTCTACACACTTAAGGTTCGATGACGCTAGGGTTATAAAGGAAGCTTGTATGTGGTTACCGAATGTTGTTCGGAGTCCCGGATGAGATCCCGGACGTCACGAGGAGTTCCGGAATGGTCCGGAGGTAAAGATTTATATATGGGAAGTCCTGTTTTGGTCACCGGAAAAGTTTCGGGGGTTATCGGTAACGTACCGGGACCACCGGGAGGGTCCCGGGGGTCCACCAAGTGGGGCCACCAACCCCGGAGGGCTGCATGGGCCATGTGTGGGAGGGAACCAGCCCCAGGTGGGCTGGTGCGCCCCCCACAAGGAGCCCAAGGCGCAGGGGAGAGTGGGAGGAGGCAAACCCTAGTCCAGATGGGCCTTAAGGCCCACCTAGTGGGCGCCTCCCCTCTCTCCCCCTCTTGGCCGCCTCCCCAAGCCCCATCTAGGGCTGGCCGCACCCCTTGGGGGGGGAAACCCTAGATGGGGGCGCAGCCCTCTCCCTCCCCTATATAAATAGAGGCCTGGGGCTGCCCATAACACATGAGAACTTCTCCTCTTGGCGCAGCCCTACCTCTCTCCCTTCTCCTCATATCTTGCGGTGCTTCGCGAAGCCCTGCTGGACTACCACGCTCCTCCATCACCACCACGCCGTTGTGCTGCTGTTGGATGGAGTCTTCCTCAACCTCTCCCTCTCTCCTTGCTGGATCAAGGCGTGGGAGACGTCACCGGGCTGTACGTGTGTTGAACGCGGAGGTGCCGTCCGTTCGGCACTAGGATCTCCGGTGATTTGGATCACGACGAGTACGACTCCATCACCCCCGTTCACTTGAACGCTTCCGCTTAGCGATCTACAAGGGTATGTAGATGCACTCTCCTTCCCCTCGTTGCTGGTCTCTCCATAGATAGATCTTGGTGATACGTAGGAAAATTTTGAATTTCTGCTACGTTCCCCAACACCCAGTTCCTTTGGTCCTACTTCCGCGACGTGGTTGGTGGAACTTGGTGCAACACCAACTTCCCTGACTCGCTAGCATAGATTCAGGCCTCTACCCTCCGTCACCGCCACATTAGGTGACTATGTGTCGGGATGCTCGCCTGGACGCTTTGGACCGTGCGCAATAGGTTTGTCATCCAGCGTTCCCCCCTTCACGTGCGACTGACGCCATCTTTAAAATGTGTGGTTTCTTGCAATTCTGGCGGCAGCGTAGCCGCATCCATGACCAGAACGCCATCAACACTCTCATCTCCGACCTTCGAGCGATGGCCTTCCGCGTGGCGCCCCCGTTTTTGCCGCCTCCCCAGAGCCAGACTAGGCGTCCTGATGTCTCCGGCGTGTCGATGTGCCGGCCCATTTTTTTTTTGTTTTCTTTGGGCTTGTTGAGTTGTGCCCTCAACATTAACCTTGGTACCTTATGTTGTGTGTCTGTGTGCGTGTGTGGACCTCCACGCCTTGGGCGTGTTGTGGCTGAGCTCGTGTGCTTGTTTGTGGCTTGGGCGGTTTGTTTTATATATAAAGCGGGGCGAAAGCCTTTTTCGGTAAACGATGGTAAAGATAGAAATTTTCTACAGGCAATGTTTTTATACTTCATTCGCAAAAAATAATAAAAATGGTAGTAACATTTTATACTTGAGCAGATCTCGCATGTGAGGAAATGGAGTGACCAAACGTTGTTGTTGCAAAATAATGCCGGCTCAATCAATTCCCGCGCTTGCTCTCCTCCTTCCGATTCCTGACGAATGCGGCCTCCGCTCCTCCCGCCGCAGCTCCTCCGCCGCCTCGACGGCCGCATCCTCTCCACGCCGCTGCTCGACCCCCTCATCCGCACCACCTCTTCCTCGCCCTCCACCCCGCACCACTCCTTCTCCCTCTACATCCTCCTCCTCCGCTCCGCGCTGCGGCCCTCCCACCTCACCTTCCCCTTCCTTGGCCGCGCCGCCGCTCGCCTCGCCTCCCCGCGCCTCGCCCTCTCGCTCCACGCGCACCCGCTTCGGCTCGGGCTCCTCCCCTGGGACATCTATGTTGCGAATTCACTCGTCCACATGTACGCGGCCTGCGCGCTCCCGGACCTCGCCCGCCGCCTATTCGACGAAATACCACGGCCGAACCTTGTCTCCTGGAATGCCCTTCTCGATGGCTACGCCAAGTGCCACGACCTCCTCTCCGCCCGCTGTTTGTTCGACCGGATGCCCCGGCGGGACGTGGTCTCCTGGAGTGCCATGATCGACGGGTGCGTCAAGTGCGGGGAGCATCGTGAGGCGCTGGCGTTGTTCGAGATGATGGAGACCACGGGGGCTGGCAATGGTGTTAGAGCGAATGATGTCACAATGGTCAGTGTGCTAGGCGCGTGTGCTCATCTGGGGGACCTTGGGCGGGGAAGGCAGATGCATCGGTACCTTCAGGAGCGTGGCTTCCTGCTGAACCTCAGGCTCGCCACCTCTCTTGTGGACATGTATGCCAAGTGCGGGGCAATCAGCGAGGCGCTTGAGGTGTTTCGGGCCGTGCCAGTGACCAGCACCGATGTTCTGATATGGAACGCTGTGATTGGTGGACTTGCAGTGCATGGGTTGACCATGGAGTCGGTGCAGATTTTCCAGGAGATGCAACATTCTGGTGTTGTGCCAGATGAGATCACATACCTTGGTTTGTTAAGTGCTTGCGTACATGGTGGTCTAGTGGGTGAGGCCTGGAGGTTATTTCGCTCACTTGAAGCTCAAGGGCTCAGACCACATGTCGAGCACTATGCTTGTCTTGTAGATGTGCTTGGTCGAGCGGGCCGCTTGGAGGAAGCATATGGTGTTGTTAAGAGTATGCCAATGGAACCCAATGTGTCTGTACTTGGTGCTCTCTTGAATGCATGCCATCTGCATGGATGGGTAGAGTTAGGGGAGGTAGTCGGCAGGCAGCTTGTCCAATTGCAGCCAGATCATGATGGCAGGTACATTGGGTTGTCCAATATCTATGCTATTGCTAGGCGGTGGCAAGAGGCAAAGAAAGCAAGAAAGGTGATGGAGGAGAGAGGAGTGAAAAAGATCCCCGGGTTTAGCGAGATTGATGTCGGTGGAAGGCTCCACAGATTTATTGCCCATGACAAGGCTCATTCTGGCTCAAGAGAGATATATGCGTTGCTTAATCTTATAACGGTGGAGATGAAAATGAAGGATGATGTTGCCATTCCAGAGTACTTCTGTACATACAGACAGGACAATGGGTGCTTAATGGATCTCTAAAAGTAAGTTCTCCTGCAGCATTCTGATCATGCATCCTGTCTGAATCAGGGGAAGTTCATTGTAGCTCTTGGTTCTGGTTACTTATGCAGGCTTGGTTTGTGTTGAAAATTTGACTGCCAAACATAACCTAGTTGTGAGGAGATCCATCAAGAGCCAGATATTTGAAGAGATGAAATACATTTGTGCGCTGCTACAGGAAGCAGAGCTATAGAAGAAGTATGACGTGTGCATATAGTCTTGAGATTCTTTGAGCTGCCAGCAGAAAAGTGCATTCTGTTGCTGGACAGCAACCAGAGAGTAAACATCTTCAGTATCTGTTTCACCTATGGCTTCTGCTTGTATGGATGATTGATCATCAGATAGATAAGGGCAAGAACATTCCAAAGACCGCTGACTATTTATGCCATATGGTGCTGAACCATGTCGTAGAGATTTCATCAATATACATTACAAGTATGCTTCACAAATTGATACACTGGCCATAGTTTTTCTCAAGAATCTGCAGTTGTAAAAATGTACCAATTGCTAGGATCATGTGCCAGAACTGCGTATGTAGCCTGTGCTGAGCTTTGCCCGTTAACGAGATCTCTGGTTGTGTATAGCGCTCAAAGGTGAAACCACACTGTACTTATTCCTATTTTATTTTTTAATCTTGGTTCCCAAAATTAGTGTTGCTTAGTTATATATTTTTATCATGCCAAACATCCGGAGCATGCTATATTTCCTATGCGATTTGTGCTATGAATAGTGAAATTATTTTCCTGAAAGTCATATGGTACTTTACTGAAGAAACAATGTTTTGTTTAATATAAAGTACACAAAGAGCAGTTAGCAAAATAACATGACCTGTGAATCCACCTTTTTCCCCCCACATTTTCTCCTTTCTTCTTGTTTTATAATAACCTCCTCTTCTCATTATCCATTTAATTATGTAAAAGTTATAACACATTGATTCTATTATTTATGGATATACACAGGCAAATTCTACCTCCCAATTGATCTAGTACTGAAAAGGGAACTTTACATATCAGCTGTGTCAGTGCAGAAAAATAATTAAGTTCATCAGAGAGATGCATACAGGGTGCAAATCTTGCAAACACAGGAACCAATAAGCTACATGCACCTCCTTAAAATTCTTATTTGGCACTAGAAACAACTCAAAATTCAGTCAGCAAAAATGTGAATTCCATGTTAAACTGTACACCAATATTTCTACTTCAAAAAAGACTGCTTCAGTTTTGATTTTCCAGCTCTTGTGAAAACATGTAATGCCGAACTATGTGGCGAGTGGACACTGCCTGTGCGTGACCTCACAAACCCAGGCATAGCCATTATTTAGTGATGATAGCATCAGGCTTGCCACATCTCCTGTTTTTAGTTATCATGTTCTCTGAATTGTATGGTAAACAGCAACTCAAGTGGCATTTCAGCCGTTGCTGTTTTTTGCAAATATCTCTGGATGTCAAAGTCATAAAGAGGAACATCTCATCCATGTTTTGAGTCATTGTGTTCTCACAAGCTTGGGTGTCCACTTGTGCCATGTAAGCCATCTACCATCTCCAGCTTTAATACCAGCGATCCTCCTCTTCAGATCAAGGCCTTTCCTTTTTTTCTCATCACTAGCCAATTCTTTTGAATGACTTATCAGGGGATGCTCTGGTGTTCCAAGGTCACTGCTATCGACAATCTTCTGCACCATCTCCAGCACCTCGCTCATCTTAGGTCTATACCTTGCATGGCGCACCAGGCACTTGTTTGCCAGCGAGGCAATCCTGACTGCCGATTTCAGGTTGTAGTTCCCTTCGAGCCTTGGATCCATTATGGTCTCAAACTTCTTGGTGTCGGAGGAGTAGGGCTTCACCCATTCCACAAGGTTCTGTTCACCCCTCGGCCTGTTCCGGTCCAGAGGCCGCCGGCCTGTGAGGAGTTCGTAGAGAACTACTCCATAGCTCCATATGTCATTCTTACTGCTGAGGCGTCCCGTATGGATATACTCAGGAGCTGCATACCCTATAGTACCCACCACCTGTTTGGTATGTCAAATAAAAAGAGAAACTTAACTTTTTATAGGTAAGAAATGTCAGGTATCTAGAGTTAATGTACAGACAGAGGCTACTTTTACTCGGAAATTTATCATCACATGTGATAAAATACTACAATTGGAAATCAGCCAGAAAAGTTAGCTGATTTCAACCAACCAGCAGGGCTAGCTGGCTTTCCTAATCGGTCTTCCTGCACTAGCATGTTGACTAACCCGGAAGTGCCTAACTGCCTACCCTTCGTTCTGCTTGTGTATCTAGGATGATGGTATTGTCCATTTCTTATTTCACAGGCCAATAATCTACTTGCTGACTGCTAAGCATCCATTCACGTGGAGTTTCTTTTAACCACTCCTAGTTTTGGGTTTGTCTGACAAGTACGGAAGGCCACAATATGAACTATTCTTGCTACTGACTACCTAGTACCTACTGAACTGATCATACTTGGGTGAACTTGCAAAGCTGCTTCTGAAAGTTACAGTATGCTATTCAATATGTCAGCATTGCGCCATGGAATTGAGGATAGTGCCATCAGGTGCTGGACAAAGAAGATGGGCTTTTTTGGCTGCTCGTTACATACCGCTGTTGAAACATGGCTTCCCTCTTGCGGCCCCAGTCTAGCCAAGCCGAAGTCCGACAGTTTCGCGTTCCAGTTCTCGTCGAGCAGGATGTTTGAAGGCTTCAGATCACGGAATATTATCTGGAAGAATACATTCATAGATGGCAGACAATATCAGGACTGGGTAAAAGGCAAGAGACTCTAAAATAGGTCATGCTTCTATGATCTTATCTTTCAGCAATCATAGCATTTGAATGAGTTGCCGCATGCCTATGACGAAGCTTACCTTGAATTCGGAATCTTCGTGCAGGTACTTGAGACCACGAGCTGTGTCGAGTGCTACTCTCAGCCTCATTGCCCATGAAGCGGGCTTTGGTGATCTTGTTGACAGGTGATCAGCTAGGCTTCCGTGAGGCATGAACTCGTAGACGAGCAGCAACTGAATCCCCCTCTCGTCGTCCTCTGCGCAGTAGCCGATGAGCTTCACCAGGTTGGGATGATCCACCACCCCAAGAAAGTTCACCTCGGTCACCCATTCCTTATGCCCCTGGATGACGAATCAAAGCATTGGTGTTATCATCTGGATCCAGCCATCCAGATTACCGATGGTTGTTCGGGTTGATGATCGGATCGCCTCCATGAATGAGCTCTGACACCATGTTTATGCCGAGTTGGGTGGAGCTGGAAGCAATGCATGAGGAAAAAAAGAGAATGTCACCTGGAGGCCTTTGCGTCCGAGCTGCTTGATGGCGACATCGAGGCTTCGGCGCGGCTCGAGGGTGCTCCGGATGGTGCCGCGGTAGACGCAGCCAAAACCGCCCTCACCGATCATAAGTGCACGGCTGAAGCTCCGGGTGGCGCTCTTGAGCTCGTGGAAGGTGAAGATGCGGAGGTCATTGTTGGGCCGCTGCGGCAGCGACAGCTGCCTGTACCGGCCGAAGGACTCGACGCTGATCTCCGACGAGACGGTGAGCGAGCAGCACTCTGAGCCCGACCGCCGCGCGTCACGGTCCGTGGAGATGCTGCTGTTGGAACGCGCCGACTGAGACCGTGCAGGCCCCTGCAGCTCCTCCTCCCGCTCCTTCTCCCAGCTCGCGAACCGGAAGCACTGCATCGCGCTTCTTCTGCTTTGACCCCCTCCTGCTCTGCAATAACATGACAGCATCAAAGGCGCAACCTTTCAGCTACTATAGTAATCAGTTTCAGACTGCGGTAAAGGCAAGCTCTCGGATCTTGGAAGTTGGAAGCACTGATTGTGAAGAAGACTAGGTGCAGAAAGCAGCGGAAAAGAGCCATTATTCTACAACCAGAAGGAGAGAGAGAGAGAGAGAGAGAGAGAGAGAGAGAGCGAAACCTTGAAGGCATCAAAAGAAGAAAACTAAAGGGGTTTCAAAAGAGGCAAAAGGGATATGCACTTTTCAAATAAGATGAGATCCTACTGGATCAATCAATTACCAATGCAAAGACGCACCAATCTAAACAAGGACGGTCGACGAAAGGAAGCCACCAGGACCAGAACATACACCCATGGAGACGATCAGCCAGACAGAAACCGCAAGATCTTTCAAGCCAACAACCGACCAACCAACCGCTCAACCTTGTTCTCCAAAGTCCAAACCCAACCCAATAGAAGTTGAAAGACACCAAGCTCTCTTCACGGGGCGGGTCGTTTCCTGCTCACCTGGGCAAAAGCCACCTAGCTGAGCCTCCCCCACATGGGGTTGGGAGGAAGAAGACGCGGCTGCTTCTGGTTCAGGGTACGGGATTTGGATTGGATTGCCTAGTTAGCAGGTCAATGGATGGCCGGCTCCTGCTTCGGGCTGTCTCTTTCTGCTTGGTTGGTCGCGCGCTGCTCGCTTGCTTTGGGAGCTGGGACGAGGGGACGCGAGAGAAACGTGAGGGTTTGGATGGCGAGAGGCGAGACGAGTATGGTGATGGGTGCAGGTGTTGAAATAAGCGGCGAGGAGAGGGAAATGGCAACTGACAAATCGCAGGAACAAGAACTTTCATCAGGGTTGTGGGGTAGTAAAACTTAACGAGTAATCAAAGTTCAAAAGAAGAAAACTACTAAAAGAGTAATCACGTATGGTTGCCGTACATGGTGTACTTGCTGTACAGATCTCTCAGAAAGCAACTTTTGTATATGTTTTCCCAAGTAACATAGTGATTTTCTCCATTTAGTCGTTTTCATCTTGATGGACGGTAGTCTGAAGGAACACATGGCTAGAAATCTTGCTCAACTTGTCAAAGTACTCTGGAGAAAAAAATAATACAAACATTATGATCGAACGTTTTAAAAAAAAAAACTAGAAATACGCACACTTATTGGTGGCAAACACGAAAACTTTGAGAAGATCCGCACAATAGTCTGGTCTGACTTGGCTAACTACTGGAGGTTGCAACACGAGTCAGGACAACGATTATCACTGCTGGGTGGTGGCAACCAAGTCAAATATAGCTCGCTTTCACATCTGGTTGACTTTTGCACCTGTGTTTTCACTCTTCTTCGTTGACCTGCGGATTCCATTTTAGTAAAAAAAAATCTGAAAGAGAGGCACCAGCTTTGCCTCGTCTTATTAAATAAGAAGAATGATGCTTAGTTAATTAGCGGAAAACTGGATAAAAATCGACACAAATGCCCATAGCAACCATCATGGAACATGACAACACACCATGCACATTTGCACACTGCATTGAAGAGAACATCACCAAGGTTGCATGCCAACGTCATCGAAATCACTCCTCCTCGAGCAAGCGACTTTGACTTCACCTCAAATGAACAGCGGTGAAGCCCTCACCGCAACAGCTGCATGAAGTCACTCTAAGATCTGCCAAACAGTCGGCCATATGTGTTGGTGACAGGGTAGCTCTGATTATGAAGGAGAGTTATGAATAAGAAATATGCAAGGTTGGCGCCGTGAAGAATCATCGAGTCAAACCATCCATCACCAGTCATCATCACCACTCGGGCCCGCCACTGCAGCTCCAACTTCACATCAACGAACAAGACCACGATGATCATGCAGACACATTGAAAAGCCAACCACCACCGTAAAAACCATCGCCGCATCGCGTGGAACGACATCTAGATTTGAGACCAAGCTCGTACCCGATCCGGATCCGAGCCGGTCCAACGAAGCAGCAGAGCAAAAAACAACCAGGTTTTTAACATCGGCCTCCAAAAACATATCGTGCCATTGCTTGTTTTCCGCCACCCGGTCAAGCCTAACTTTGACGTTTGCTCGGCCTGACTGTCGGTTATCATAAGTGTATGGTAGACCAGAAAATCCAAGATCACCAAGACCACATAACTCCAAAGCATCAGGAGAATCAATCATCTGACCTGCTGAACAAGGAGTCTCGGAGAAGTGTTCGAAGCCCCCCACATGGCCTCTTTGAAGTCTCAAATCACCGCATGTGACATGTCGGCTTGATAGTGAAGATCACGGAGAATCGACAACATGTGGTGTCGGTCCTCCGTCTGTGGCTCGCCGTAGATGCAAGTGAGCCTCCATGGAGGTTCACCCGCCATACCACACACATAAGCATCAATATATCTTCCATTCATAGATTTTACATCGAGTTGCACCGATTCATGCCAAAAAGTGCTAAGTCACTACTAAGCCATTGTTATCGACTGCTTCAAAACCACTTAAACATAAACGAGGTCAATATCTTTTCATCCTATCTTTTGATTGCCTAGTTTCACATAGGAAAGATATACAAGCATTTTGAGCTTCCACCAAGCTCACAAGATGATGAACGGCCTGAGAGCCCCCTGGTTGTTTCACCTTAAAACATTCATTGCTCCTGACGGGGTGCTTCCTGCGGCCCCGTCAGTTCTCTAGCAGCCCCTAGGCCGGTTGCCTCCAAGGTTGGATTCTTACCCTCCTCCCCCCATAACAATGTCCACCGTTGTGCCTCATGTCACACCTATCTTTTGCTTCTCCAGTGTCCTTTCCAAGGCCTTATCCTCTATGTTCGACTGTGAGTGCACCACTAGGGCGGTGCCCAAAGTATCCTGCCATGCAACAACTAATCGATAACAAGCACTTCGCTTACTAAGAGTGGATGTATCATTAGACAACTTTGCATCCACCACTCAAGCTTCAGAAGACATACTTAGCGTCATCAAAATCATGTCTGAATCCTTCGGTTCTAGTGCATAACTTGTACTTGACCACCATCCATATGGGCATTATTTGAGCATGAGAATCAACCGCTAGGGGCTTCTCCTTGGCTGTGTTTGCCTCGCCCGTTCCTATCATGTTCTAAAATTTCTCTGTCAAATATTGTGCTATAGCAGGGTTACTGTCGTGGAATTGTCACGTCAGATGTCCTAGCGTAAGGACTTAGGTGTGGAGCCATCGCAACGTGGTTAGCTTGAAGGGTGAAACGGGACAAGGGACACAGAGAGTTTATACTGGTTCGGCCCCTCGCGGTGGAGGTAACGGCCTAATCCGTGTAGGGTGGTTATTGCTTGGGTTTCAATTACGAGGGAGTGAATGCGCTTGACCTAGTTCTCGATCTCTTCTTTTCCGCCTTAACTCGCCGCCGGGTCGTCCCTTTATATACACAGGTCGTCCCCCGACGGCTTACAGAGTCCCGGCCAGCTTATAAATAACGTGTCCGGCTCGGTGACTAACTAAACCTGCCTTACAATACAAGTTATTCATATGGCGGTTCATCCTCTTGGGCCCTAAGTCGCCTCTATGCCTTGGGCCGTCAGCGGGCTTGTTATGATCCGCCACCTTCATGGATAATCGCCAGTGGTATGACCTAGCCCCTCTTGGGTGGTTCATACCGAGTAGTTATATCCCCAACATTAGGCCCCAGGTTGATTTGAACTTGTTCATATCAATCTTCAATACCCGACTTGTAAGAATTTACATCACTTGTTGTAACCCGCCATGACGTCAGCTCTCAAGATCTTCTTAAACTGCCATGACGTCATTTTGCATTAACTCTGTACGAAGCCCAAAACATCTTAACTGATCCTTAACTTAATAAACATCTCGGAAATCGAGGCATCCTATAGCCACATGATGATTTCGGCCTCCTCAATTCCCGTGCATGCCTTGTATTCGTCCCCCTTATAAATAGGGATAGGGGTCTCTCTCATCCCCCCTGCTTCCTTCTTCGTCTTCCTCCTTCTCACAGCCGCACGAGCGCTCAAACTCCGCCACCGCGACCGCTGCCTCAACTCAGGCCGCTGCATCGACCTGACTGGACCAGAGAACTCCGATGCGCCACCGCTGATCCTCATCATCTGTAAGCACACCTCCCCTTTTATCTCAGATCTACATTAGGGTTCAGACCGTTTGTTAGTGTTCTTGCTGTTGTTCATTGTTTTCTTCACCGTAGCTTGTGATTTTGATTCAAACTTGGTACTCCTCCCACGCGGCGGTAGTTGTAGTACTAATTTTTGCTATTAGACCATCTCCTCTGCATAAGAAATCCAATCTGGACATGTGAACTGCTCAACTGTTGCAATTTAGGTCTAGATATTTTCCATTATTTGAAGTGCCGTAGAACCAAAATCATAGCATCAACCTGTGAAATCTGTTTTTCCAACACTTAGCAACTTTTTCACTCTCAGATCTGTAAATCAATAACTGTGTGGGCGGCTTAACTCATAAACCGTAACCCGTCAGGTACCATTAGTCCCCTCTTAAGCCGCCAATAGCTCATCTTTATAACTTCAATGCCATCCTCCGGTTTAACACCTTTGCATGTATGCTTCATCATTACTTGCCTTTAAACCAACAGCCGGCTTATCCATATAATCTTAAACCGGCATAATCTTCATTTCAGATCATCAAAGAATGACTAAGACATATACTACCTGCAACTGGGTCCGATCCCGAGTCACCGAAGAAGACCTGAACAATTTCGTCGCAACTGGCACCCTAGCCAAGAGAGAGGACATCCACTGGAGGGTCCCAGGCGAAGAAAATCCTCTTGATCCCAAGGACAGAGAAGTGATTGTTTTCACTGACCACCTAATCCGGGGGTTCAGCCCGCCCGGCTCAAAGTTTTTCCTTCAGCCCGCCCGGCTCAAAGTTTTTCCGTGATGTGCTTCATTTTTTCCAACTTCACCCCCAAGATATCGGACCCAATTCTGTGTCCAACATTTGCAACTTTCAAGTATTCTGTGAAGCTTATCTTCAAGAGGATCCCACTGTTGAATTGTTCAGAGAATTTTACTACTTAAACCGTCAGACAGAGTTTACTGACGGCCCCAGCTTGGAACTCGGTGGGGTTTCAATTCAGAAGAGGAAAGAAGCCAGTTTTCCCTATGCCAAACCACTGAGTCATCCCAAAGATTGGAACCAAACTTGGTTCTACTGTCAAAACACATCTCC